TCCATATAGAATAGGGCCAGGGTTAGAGAATCCCCATTCACAGGCCTGTTCCTCATCTCATTCTGTATATGGGATTTAAATTTTGACAAGTCCAAGCAAGGTATCAGAGCCCCCAGGAGTTCTGGCCATCCGGCCACTTGTCTTGGTGTTTTATCAACTGTTTGGTTTCCCTGACTCATTTGGGGACTGTCCCAGCAGTGTCCTCGGTAATGTATTATGACAATTTGATTCAGCGGGTTCATTGCCTCTAGCAATTGTAAAATCTCTTTGGCATGTTTAACATCCTTGTCCCCTGAGGTTAAGAGCCCTCTCTCTTTCCATTTTGCTCCATGGGCATGGACACCATGAAGACATATTTGGATTTGGTGTAGGCATTAACCTTCTTTCCCTGAGCCAGCACTAAGGCTCTGGTGAGAGCTATCAGTTCAGCCTTTTGTGCTGAGGTGCCCAGTGCAAGGGCCTTGGCTTCAATTACCTTGTCTAGGGAGACTCATGACTGGCCATTTTCCAAGAGGCTGATCCTGTGTGTAGCTCCCAACCTGGTGCTGTTAGCGTCGGGTCCAATAGATCTGGCCTGCTGAAACAGACTTGGTCGATGACTTTCAAGCAGTCATGCTAGAGGGCTGAGTATCTTCTGAGTCCAGGAGCAGGGTGGCCAGGCTCCAGGTTCTGGTAGTCTGTAAGGTAATATTTGGGTTGTCTAACAGATTGGACTGGTGTTTTCCCGTGTGCCCTGTCATCACGATACCCTTTCCCCCACCCCCAATAGAGTTAGGACCTGGTGTGCTACAAATACTATCATAGGCTTCCCCAAAGTGAACTTCTTAGCTTATTGTAAGATGTCACAGGTAGCTTTTACTGCCCAGAGGCATGGTGACCATCGCTTTGTCACATGATCCAAGGACCAGTCTCCCAAAGCCCACCCTTGACTTCTGAAGCCTGTGATTTCCCTCTCCATGCCTGCCTATCCCATTTGTGAGCCACGTTCCTCTCACAGGTTACCTTCCTGGTGGATTCTGGGAATTGCAATAGCTTGGGACCAGTGGGAAGGGGGAGGAGGCAGGGTCTTGGTCAGTGGGCAGCAGTGTTGGGCCTCCTCGGACAGCAGGCAGGCCGCCCTAGGAACAGGGACAGAGGCTCCAGGCACACTCCCTGCCAAGGTCCCAGCAGACCCACCTTGGGAAGGGCTGTCCATGCTTGAGCTTGGGGTGTGGGGACACCAACCAGGACAACCTATGGCTGATTCCCACCCTGCTGTTCAAGAGGTAAGCTCCCTTCCCATATCACATGTGGAACCCCTCTGTCTGTCTTCTCCTGAACCTCTGGGTGACCTACTAATGAAGCCCACAAGGACTAAAGATGACTTCTGGGGCCCCACAGGGCCTGTGGTTCTGAGGTGCTGGACCAAAGCAGGAGCCTGTTCCGTGAGTGAAGGAACTGGCTGTGGCAGGCTGCTCAGCCCCACACTGGATCCAAACAGACACTCTGCAGCTGACTCACGTCCCTTTGGGTGCCTTCCAGTTGCCAATCTCCATGCAGAGACAGGGCTGACATACAGTGTTGGAGCTTTCATTATGGAAAATAAAATGTTTTTATCATGAAAAGTTGCAAAGAGAATGAAGAGCCCAGGAAGGTGCAGGGAGGGCAGCAGCTCTCCCCAGACCAATGAACACCTCGTGACATGCGGTCTTTGAGAACAGAAACAGGGCTCTCTCTCCAGGAAACCTCCCTTTCTTCCTCTAGGAAGAGAATCCCAGCCTCTACTCACATTTCCTATTTTTGAGGCCAACGGGACAGGCTGTCCTGTGTGGGATGCTGTGAAGTGATGCCCAGTTCCTTAAAGAAATGAAGACCTCACCGCAGTCCCCGTGAATAATGCTGGCCGCCGGAAGCAAGGATAGCCTCTGCCAACTGTGACCATCTGGCACTAGGTCCACTCCCCTCCTGGGGAAGCCCACGTTCGGTGACTAACCTGTGTAGCAGTATAAACACCCAGTCCATCCTACCAGAACAGAGCAGCTCTAGAGGGTCACCCGCACAACAGGAGCCACTCAGTCACTGTGTAGCGGGGAATGCAACACAACCCAAGTAGGCCCTGAGCGCCGTCCTACTTCTTTTCTTCTATTGCCTGAGGTTGACCCAGGAACATGCCTAATAAAACTCCTAACAGCCATTTTCCATCTCAGAAACTGATTTCATGGAAGCCGACCTACAAGGTTCGTGAGGGAGGTGGATGATTCCATGATTCTGGTACCTGAGCTTGGAGAGATCACATGGGGGTCCCAGGATAACCAGGCTTCCTTTGTGTTCACAGCCTCTACAGGACCTGGCACAAGAAGGAGGAGGAAAAGATACTTAGGGAACACAACCTGGACAAATCTGAGAACTGCAAATGGTGAGAGTGGGGCGGGAGAACAGGAGGGAGGCAGAGAACTCCCGGGAGCAGACCCTGGCCCGGGGCCCAGGCCTTAAGGCTGGTCCGGGGACGTGACCAGAGCGGTGGTGGGGCGAGGTGGAGGCAGAGACAGACACACCCAGAAAAGCAAAGAATCCACAGCAGCCAGAGTGAGATTCCTTGATTCTTTGCTTATTTGCTTAGTACAAACAAAATCATGCCCTTCTCTGCTAAAACCTTTCCACTGGGTAAGTAAGAAGATTAACAAATTAAACAGTGAATAAGTGAGCGGGTGAGATTTGGATCAGGGGAAGCAGTGACCAGGAGGGTCAGACAGAGACAGGGAGAGAGAGCTTTGAGGGGAACAGACCCCCTCACACCCCTCTTCCATGTACATGCGTGATGTACACAGCCCAGCAGGAGGGGCAGCCACGGGAACAGGAGAACCCGTCTTCCCTCTGGGCACCTGCTGCAGCCCCTTGTCCTTTCATTGTGGTGCAATCGGCCTGTGACTGCAAATGCCCCTGTGTCCTGGGTCTGAGGGCCCCGCCTCACCTGGCGTGGAAGGAAAGGTCTTAGAGGCTTAGCGGGCGGAGCCCTTCATCATGGACACGCATTCCCCTCCAACCCACAGGGTGCTACACACGGGGACCTGAGCAAGGGCCCAGGTCCCAGGAGCTTCACTCAGCAGGGACACGGGCCCAGGTGACCCCGTGCGGGTATCACTGTGCCTGGGGTCAGGGAGAATGCACTGATGGGCCTACTAGGCTCTGTCGAAGGGACCTGAGCTGAGTTCTGAAACATGGGAGGGCTTAGCTGGGCCAGAAGGGCCAGTTCCAGGCAGAGGTGGGGTCCCTGCTCTGAGCGCCTTGGAGGAGCAGAGGAGGCGGGAACAAGGAGCGCTGCTGCTCTACGTGTGGCCCCTGGGCCAGCAGGTCAGCCTCAGCCTCACCTGAGAGCCCGTTCAAAATGCAAATCTCAGCAGGCTCGCCCTGGGGGTGGGTTGGGGGGGAACACCCTCGCCTTTCTTCTCCCTCAGGTCAACAAATCCTAAACTCTAAGGGACGCAGGGAGTCTTCCAACCAGGAAGCAATGAGTAGTGGCAGCTTGTCCCCTGCGAACTCCTTAAACTTGTCCCTAAGGTCACCTTTTCTCTGACTTTCTAGTGAACCACAAAGAGCCTGGCCTCTGCTCTCTCCTGTTGCTTCTTCTATCCTAGCCCTTCCTTGTTATGCTGTCCCGGCTTTAATAAATACACTTTCGAAATTAAAACTCCTGGTGTGGACCTTGGAGAAGCACCGGACTGGACATGAGAGAGCAGGGAGTGTGGGCACAGGTGGGGTTGAGGGTGGAATGGGGGGAACAAGGGCACATGTAGGCCTTTAGGCCACATCAAAGAACTTTTTAATTCTACCCCCAAAAATGATAGAGATTTTGGGGCTGTAGCAGCAAAGTGCTGAGATCGGATCATATAGAAGCTCAGCTGCTGTCTAGAAATGGGCTGGCAATGGACAAGAGAAGAAGCAGGGACCCCTACGAAGGGGATGATGTGGTCAAGCCAGACATGCCAGCGCCTGGGCCTGCGGTGGAGGATACAGAGCAATAGAGAAGGGACTAGAAAGGAGAACTATTCTATTGCCACTGTCGAGAGGAACAGTCAGCTCTCAGAGGGAGCGAGGAATCAGACCTGCACCGCAGTCCGGCATGGATGGCTGGGTTGAGGGGGGCCGTTCGTGGAGACAGGGCCTATGGGAGAATCTGGGGTGAAGGCTGAGTTGAAATTCAGATGAGTTGGATTTAAGGGGAGATGCCATGTAGACAGAACCAGCTTCCTCCAATATCTCAGGGACAATAAATAACTGTGTGTAGGAAGCCAAGTCTGATGATTCCTAAGGAGGCTCCAGGTAAAGATCAGAGGGATGATGACATGTCCCCGCTCAAATGGCAGGAACCGGAAACAGGTACTTTGAAGAGGCCAGAGAGGAAGCATCATGATTTGGGATAAGAGAGGGGGATGGGGAAGGGCATCCCCTCCATCCCCTGCCTCTGGTGTGGGTCCTGGCAAACTGCCCCCTAGGACAGCCCCGCCCCAAGCGAGAACAGCCGCACCTGGAACCTACAGGACCTCTGCTTCCCTCTCTCCCAGCCTCAGGGGCTGAGGACCCTCCTCTCCAGAACGCTGCTGCCACGTCTCAGACTTTGACCAGGGCCCAATCTCCCAGACCCACACTGGGCTAATGAGGCCTAGGAATCACCTCTACATTCCCATCCATTCATTTTTTTGAAACATCTTGGTGGAGGCTGGGAATAGCAATCCCTCTGGACCAATGGGAAGAGGCGGGTGGCAGCGGTGTGGTCAGGGGGCAGCCCTGTTGGGCCTCCTCAGACAGCAGGCAGGCTGCCCAGGAGCAGGGACAGAGGCTCCAGACACGCTCCCTGCCAAGGCCCAGGCAGATCCGACTTGGGAAGGGCCCTCCGTGGTCAAGCCTAGGGCAAAGAAGGACCAGACAGAAGAACCTAATGCTGACCCCCACCCTGCTGTTCCAGACGGGAGCTCCCCTCATGTAGCAAAGGTGGAACCCTTCTGTCTGTCTTCTCCCTCTAGTGAATGAAGATGACTTCTGGGTCCCCACAGGGCCTGAAGATGAATTCTGTGTCCCCACAGAGCCTGTGGCCACTCAGGTGCTTGACGAAAACAGGAGTCTGTACGAGTGAGTGAGGGGACTCTGTTGTGCCTGGCTGGCCACCCCCGACCCTCGCCACCCCACACTGGATTCCATCAGATGCGCCACACCCCACTCATGGCCCATTGGGTCCCCTCCCTATGCCAAGCCGCCAGGAAGAGGCAGGGCTGAGCTACTGGATTGGTGATCTTATTATGGAAAAAGAGATTTCCTTATGAAAAGTTGCAAAGAAACACAAAAATACAGTCCAAAGAACTTCCACTTACTAATTACTTGGTTCCAACAAACCTTTCACCATATCTGTTTCAACCATTCACTTTCCCTCATTTTGTTGTTATATTATTTTAAATCTAAGCTATCAGGTGATTTATCCTTAAATAGTTTGTGGTACACTTGGAGAAATGCAAATACTGGCCTTTTCTTCCATAAACACAATACCATTGTCATATCTAACAATGTTTACAAGTTATTTTTATATCACTGAATACCCAGTCTGTATTCAAATATGTCACTTGTCTATGATGCATCCTTTCAAGTGGCTTGTTCTAATCAGGATCCAAACACTCCACTCAAATATTGTTTGATTTGTCTCATAAGTCTCATTTAAATCTCATTCCATCATTATGTTTCTGTTTCATAATAATCCACTATGTAAATTACCATACAAGTAACATGGAGCCCGGACCTGAACATGGCAGCCCTGCCTTCCAAGGGCTCCGGTCATAAGTAAGAAACGTCTACAACATTAGTCCCCGTGCCTCTCATAACACCATTCACTGTCCCAGACACGATCTCAGCTTGGAGGTAATGTTTTCCACAACTTACACATACGGGAGCTGACATCCCAGAAACCCACTCTTTACCAACGGGAAACCTGGGGAAAGTGTACAATCTCTGTAGAGTGTTTCTTTAAGCCCCAAGTGGTTATCGTTTCTATTACCATATAAATTGCTTTAAGTGTTGAAAAACGGGCCCCTTAAAAACAGTAAGCCTTCCCTATTGTGTTATTATTCATATTACTATTATTCCCATCATCATCGTAGGGACAGCTCACCTCGCCCAGGCCTGTCCGAGCTGCCAGCACACACTGGGGCACTTACTGCTCACAGCTGCGTGAGATGGTGCTCTTCTCACTTTACTTCCACAGGAGAAAACTGAGATGAGGGAGGTTCAGGGACTTGCTCAGGGATCCACAGCGGAGAGCAGAGGGGCCAGGACGCAAACCCGAATCCCTCTGACTGTGGGATCTGAACTCGCAGCCACTCTGCGAGACAGGCAGGGCCCAGCATGAGGTCGGTGGGGTCAGACACACAGCTGGTACTCGGTGAGGTGTGTAGAGCGATTAATTCACTGCCTACCCCTTCCTGTTTTCCCAGAGTTCGCTTCCCCATGGCTGGCTCCTACCGCTGGCCCAACACAGGTCTCCACTTCGTGGTGCGGGGGCCCGTGACCATTGAGATCGAATTCCGTGCTTGGAAAGAGTTCCTGGACCAGATCGTCCCACAGCACAGCTGGATGGTGGCCGGGCCTCTGTTTGACATCAAGGCCGAACGAGGAGCCGTGGCAGCTGTGTACCTCCCCCACTTCGTAGATCTCCAAGGTGAGCAGTTAGGGGGTGTGGAGGGAAGGTGACGGTGGTGAGAGAGGGCCCGGAATGGCTTCAGGCGGCAATGTCCCGAGGGAGCAGTTTTGGCTTCCTGAGGCAGACTGAGAGGGGGTGGTTACAGAAGTAGAGACAACTTTCTCTCTCATTCCACAGTGTGCTGGCATATCCTTTTTGAAAGATTTTTGTTCCAAAGCGTCGTAATTACTTTTGCCTGAATGCCTTGAAAGCTTCCCTCAATTGAAAGTCGTCTCCTCAGTAACAATAACAACTAGCAGTAAGTTCTCCTCAAATAGATGGTATCACTCAGGGTCCCTGGAGGGAACATAATATACTCAGATGAGATTTTTAACGAGACTTTTGAAGACAAGACTGTTTGCAAAGTAAGGCCAAGTAAACAAAGAGAGGTTGTGGTACCTGGAGACTAACAACAAATGGGAAACCATTGCTACTGCCACAGTCGGGGATGACAAACAGTGTCACCAGACCCCACTGGAGAGCTCAAGCCAGAAATGAGGGGCACCCAGTAAGAGAGGCAGTCATCATGGTTACATGGCTGTCCCAACCTCTCCGACCTCCAAAGACTTCCCACAGATACAATTACAAAAAGTATAAGCTCTCAGTCAAAACCTCAGAAACCCTGAACAAGGCATCATAAGTGAGAACCAACAGAAATCTCAGGTACCAGACATCAGTCCTAGAAATAGTGTTTAAAGAATGAGCAAGAAGCAATAAACTATGAAAAATAATAAATCAAGTTTGTGAAAACAAGCTAAAATGACAGAAAATATAATAAAGCACAAATAAGAAAAGATAAACTGACACCGAAGATACTATGAGAAGGCCTAACATACTTTTAATCAGACTTCAAAAGGATATAGAGAAAAAATGGAGGTGTAATATTCAAAGGGAGAATTGCCAATAAATTACTAGAATTGATAAAAGACGTGATTTCTTTTTTGTTAATTATTTTTATTGATTATGCTATCTCAGTTGTCCCAAGTTTCCCCCATTTCCCCCTCCACCCAGCACCCCACACTCCCTCAGGCAATGCCCATTCTTCATGTCCATGGGTCATGTGTATAAGTTGTTTGGCTACTCCTTTTCCTATACTGTTCTTTACATACCCATGGTTATTCTGTAACTACCTGTTTGTACTTCTTTCTTTTTTAAGATTTTATGTATTTATTTTCAGAGAGAGGGGGAGGAGAAAGAAAGAGAGGGAAACACCCATGTGAGAGAGAAACATCGATCAGTTGTCTCTCGCACACTCCCAGCTGGGAACCTGGCCCACGACCCAGGCATGCGCCCTGACTGGGAATCAAACCTGCAGCTTTCGGTTCACAGGCTGGCACTCAGTCAACTGAACCACATCAGCCAGAGCCTATTTGTACTTCTTTATTCCCTCACCTCTTTACCCATCCCCCCACATCCCCTCCCATCTGGCAACCATCAAAACCCTCTCTGTGTCCATAATTCTGTCTCCGTTCTTCTTATTTGCTTTGTTTGTTTTTTAGATTCAGTTGATAGTCTGTATTTATTGCCATTTTATGGTTTATGCTTTTGATTTTCTTTTTCTTAAACAAGTCTCTTAATTTAACATTTCACGTAATAATGGTTTGGTGATGATGAACTCCTTTAGTCTTTTTCCTTGTCTGGGAAGCTCTTTATTGGCACTTTGATTGAAAGAAGGAGAAATCTTAAAAACCCAAACCAGGAGAGAGAGAAAGAGAGAAATCAGCACTGAATCAATTACAGTATATCTACAAAATACAGAAGTCTAAGGGTAGGTTTTAACAGTGGCCAGAAAGTTATTGAGTAAGGTGCTGAAATTAAGATGTCGCCTGATTTTTCAACAGAAACAATGAAAAGCAGAAGACATGAATGATATTCTCAAAGTTTTGAGAAAACAGCCTCTCAATCACAAATTACAACCTCAGAAAAATTATTTTTTAGGAAGAGAGGTTGACGTCGGAGGAAAGGTAGCATGAGAGATCCCCTTGGTCTCTCCTCCTGAATTTTCAACATTTGACCAGCTATAATTCAATGAATGTGTAAGCAGACCTGAGAGATCCCCACAGGGAAGTATCTAAAGTTGGGCAAATGGGAACAAACAGGGGAGGCAAGAAGGCAGGAGAGCTCAGACAGCCACAGACACAGCCCTGCAGCCTGAAGTTTGCGATAGGTTCGGCTCTGAGAGGGGAGGAAGCTGGCTGTGGCCTGTGCTTCCTTCATCAGGGAGAGCACAGAGTCTCAGCGGGCACCTCAGCCAGAGTGCACAGTGCGAACTGCAGCTGAGCCAGCTGAGACAGTCGAGAACCCAGGAAAAGGACAAGGACAAGGACAAGGCACAGGCATGCTGCCGTGACTCAGCTGTCCCGTGGTCAGTGTTTCCAACAAAGGAAAGGAGCCCCAGAGGTCTGACACCCTTACACTCCTAGATTTCACCTCCCAGCACCCTTGGTGTTGGGTTTCAGAGCACATCATCTGTAAACCCAAGGGCTATTACATCGAAATCCTTATTTCCCTCTGTGACTGATCCACTGTTGGGGTGCAGACGGATCCCTCAGCGGAAGTCAGAGGTTGCCTCACCAAGTGGGCCAAACAAACCCATCCCCAAAATCATTGGCATGCTAACTGCAGCCACAGAGGTCAGCTTTAGGATTTCACAGAGCTAAAAAATCTTGTGCCACCTACTGGAAAATAGTAGAAAGACCTCTTCATGGAAATCTGCTACGCAATTGTCAATACGTGGATGCCTAGGAATGGAAGGAGCCCAGCAAATACCACAAATGACCAAGGGAGCAAGGCATCTCAGAAAGAAAATGAAAAGTCTCCAGAAAGCAAACTGGGACACAAGGAAATAGGTGATATAAATAACAGAGATTCAAGATTGCAGTTCTGAAAATACTCAACATGATGCAGGAAAATACAAAATGAAACTCAAAGCACTCAGAAAACAAATTAATGAACAAAATGAGTACTTTACCAAAGAGACTGAAATTTTTTAAAAGAGCCCAACAGAACTGAAGATGAAGTATTCAATGAAGGAGAGCAGGAATGAACTACTGAGCATAGGAAAAAGAGCCAATCAGACGGGGGAAAGAGTTAGTGATATTGAAGATAAGAATCTAGAAGTGATGCAGAGGAAACAAGAGAGACACCTGAGTGTAGAAAATGAAAGAGCTCTATGAGAACTATCTGGCTCAATCAGAAAAAGCAATATGAGAATTACAGATATACCAAAAGAAGAAGAGAGGGGGTAGGGAACAAAGAGTCTATTCAAACAAAAAGTGGATAAGAACTTTCCAAAGCTACAAAAAGAATTAAACCCTCAAATACAAGAAGCAAACAGAATACCTAGTTAACTTAATCCAAAAAGATTCATTGTATTAAAACTGTCAAAAATTAATGAAAAAGAAAAAATCCTCAAAGAAGCCAGGGGAAAAAAATGAAAGCAACCTACAAAAGAAAGCCCATCAGGTTATCTTTAGACTTCTACACAGAAACTCTACAAGTCAGAAGAGAGGAGAACCAAATATTCAAAATATTAAAAGACAAAAATTACTAGCCAAGGATAATACATCCAGCAAAGTTATCCTTTAAATATGAAGGAGAAGTAAAACCTTTCCAGGCATAAATGATTGAGGAAATTTATCACCAGAAAACCTCTACTGCAAGAAATACTCAAAGGAGTTAGTCCACCTGAAACAAAAAGTAAAAGCTCACAACACTTTGAATAAGATTACAAAAAAAATAAAATAAAAAAACCTTACAGTATAAACAGGGATAATCTGTGATAATGAAAACATACAAAAGGAGAATTCAAAACTTTCAACTGACAAAGGGGGATAAAGAGCATATGCGCTCAAAAGAAAGGAAAATATACCATCTATATGCAACTTTTTAAAATGAACTTAGTGGTAACATGCACGAATGCGCGCATGCACGCCCTCCCCCCTTCCCCCCCCCCACACACACCCCAAAACTGAGAAACTTAGCTTAAAAAAAGAGGAAACTGCCCTGGCTGGCGTGGCTGAGTGGATTGAGCACTGGCCTGCAAACCAAAGGGTCACCGGCTCGATTCCCATTCAGGGAACATGCCTGGGTTGCAGGCCAGGTCCCTAGGAGGGGGTGCATGAGAGGCAACCACGAAAGGCAACCACACATTGATGTTTCTCTCTCTGTCTTTCTCCCTCCCTCTCTCCCTCCCTCTCTCTATAAATAAAAAAATAAATAAATAAATAAGGGAAACAGAAGAAAGAAGCATGGAATACACCAGACAAAATCAACAGACAGAAACACAAAGGAAAAGGAGCTATGGAAACACAGAGCTACTAGAAAACAAAGGATAAAATGGCTATAGGAAGTCCTCATGCATCAATTATTACCATAAATGTAAATGAACTGAATTCACCAGTGAAGAGGCACATACTAAGAGACTGAATCAAAAAACAAAACACAACTATATGCTGCCCTCAAAGACACATCTAAGCTGCAAAGACAGAGGCAGATTGAAAGTGAAAGGGTGCAAAATAATTCTCAAGAAAATAACATCCACAGAAAAACAGCTGTAGCCATACTTATATCTGACCAAATAGATTTCAAGATAATGTAAAAAGAAACAAAGATGGGCATTTTATAATGGTAAAGGGGATGCTACATCAAGAAGACAACACTTCTTAATATATATGCATTCAATCAAGGAGCACCAACATATATAAAGCAATAACAGAACTAAACGGAGAAACAAACCAAAACACAATCATTGTTGGGGACCTTCATACTCCACTGACAGCTCTAGATACATCATCCAAACAGAAAAGCAACCAAGAATTATCAGCCTTCAATCACACATTAGATCACACGGATATAATGGGCATACACCGTCTTTCATCCCAGCTCATCCGATTACACATTCTTCTCCAGTGCACATGGAACAGTCTCAAGGACAGATCCTGTGAGCCTATGCTGTTTCACAAAACTAGCCTCAACAA